TTAAATAAAAAGTTGTTTTAAATATTACTTATTTCTGATTGTTTACTTCGGCCCCTTAAAAAATGGCAGCCGCCCATCCACATCCTGCTTCCCGAAGGCAGGAAACCCCGCACAAGCCACGCCCAGGGTAACATGGCTGATTATGCCGATGACATCATCAAGCAATCACCTCCCGTCCAGCGGCACACATGTGAACGGTGGGACTTTTATTTGCAGCTACAGTATTTCTGTGTTATCCGAATTAGTCGAGCAATTAAACCGACAATTGACAGCAGGGTCATTCCACGCCAACTCAGAAATTAGGCATTTAATTTTTTTGGCATCTACATTGAGCCCAGGGTGAGTTTTCTAGTCAAGGTCATATTTTTATTTTAGGTTGACCCTTGTCAGGTCATACCTCGAATTAAATATTAAAAAATTCCGAGCATTTTTCAACTCAGCGAGCCCAAAACTCCCCAGGTGATTTTTATTCTGGCAACATTTTTGACTGTTAGGCAACAGCTCTGGTTGAATTGGCATGGAATGACCCAAGCGTGACGGAAAATACAAGCAAGACAGAGCGCGACGGAAACAATAAACACGAGAAGAGCATCGATTCGCAGAAGAGTATAGATTCTTGAGTTGAACTGTGACAAATGCATTGAATCACCGGGGAGAGTGAATCACAGCGTGCCTGCTTCATATAAACACAACACGTCAACGATACCACGTTGATTTCCACGATATGGCAGTTATCGCGATATCAGCTACCCATAACGTGAGCAAACGAATCACGAAATCGATATTTTGCAAAATAGGATGCTACGTTTGTTGTGAGCCTGGAATCGTAGAATAAAAAAAAAGATTAGTTTACACCGGGGCTCTACACGCGATGAGCGACTTTCATCATATCTCATCTCAAACATTTTAAAGAGCACCCCCCAGTTGCAGCCGACCCTGTGTGACACAAGGTGACTTAGCACTTGGACTGCAGGCAGACATTATTCTGCCAGTAGGGGTTGATGAAGTGCTATGTAGAAATACCAGTGAGTAATTTGCAGTGTAATGTTATCGAATGTGGCATAGTTTGAATATGACGCAGGCAACACAATTGACACCTCGTTTCGAAATGATGTCTAGGGATCTGTTACGTCAACTACGAAACAGATGACGCGTAGTAGTATTTTTTGGTCAATACACTCCACAGCAATGATCAGGGCGGTTTGCCGTATTTGAACCGCGAACCCCTGCAACAAGTGGCAAACGCGCTCTTGCTGGGCCAAGTCATCGCCCCCAGTCACCATATCGTAGCGAGCCGAATATAAACACAGCCGTCAGTAGCGTTGCAAGCATGCAGAAGAAATGAGAACCACGCTGTCTCAGCGTTCGTCTCACCGGTCCACTGTGGTCAAACTCTGCCCTCACTTCTCCATCACCCCCTCCTAACCAGCACACAGATATCTCCCCATACTTTGACCCTCAGCTGACTGCACTCATTTCACGAGGAACACTCCTAGGTAAACACATAATGCTCACAGATGCATACGGATCCCCAAAACAGCTGGTGCAGAGTTCAAAGCAATGGCCCTGAGCCAGAGGAAGATGAATAACAACACCCAGCTTTGCAATCTCAACCTAGCATATCAACGTTGCTGGTTCACCAAACCACAAAGAAAATATCTTCCTTCAGGCACACCCAGCCCCAGAGATTGATCGCAGAACTTCAAAAGGTTCTGGCTCAAATCACTGATATGGGTATCAACCTCCCTGAGAGACATACAGACCAGGACTTACCCTAGGTGAGAGAGTTGCTGGTTCAGTGTCCTGACAAAGCCATCTGTTCTTTCAGGCCAACCCAGCCATAATCACAATCCCTGTCCGCGCACAGCCAGCATTGTGCCATTACGGTACAGGTGGTTTTCCGCTGGCTATTTGCCTTCTTGAACTAAATCGCGTAAACCTGGCCTCACAAGACATCTGAATTTTGTCCCAGGGCCAAGCAGAGCCAGCGGCCGGGCTAATGACGCCAAGCGAGTATGGCGTGAGGACACATGGCATCACCGCATCATCCCACACGTGTGTTCAAGCGACATCAGCAGCACACCCCGGCTTCTGCGGCGGAAAGTATGAAGGCTCATCAGTAACTGGCTGAAAAAAACATCTCGCCTGAAAAAAGAGGTTTAAAAAAAGAAGTTGGGAAAAAATTAAAAAGTGACCGACCCGCAAATGGTTCCCGGAGGCCGCTGGTTAGGTTAAGGATGGAGTCTGCAATGTTCGTGCCCCCACTTGGAAGTTCTACCTCAGTATAATTACATTAAATCTACGCAACCACTGGCTCCCGGCTCTGTAACGAGGCGCCTGCTCCCGTGGGCTGCTGTGTATTTAAAGATTAGGCTGAGACACTTTGTTAAAGTGAGAGACACAGCCCCTGGATCCGGGCTATGAGCAATCCACCCTGGAAGCGGCCAACTTCACTAGGATCTCAGGAGCAAAACAGGGTTGAGCTTAGCGGGTTATTGGATGAGAACCTGCCCAAAACTACCAGGCTTGAACTGCAAGTTGTGGCCAGAATATGACAGTATGGCAACAGATTATTGAATCCATCTGTGAGTACATTTGAGTGTTTCTTAAAGGAAAAATCTGCTTTCCTCCCACATGAAGTCAAACTCTCATGAGTGGCCAACTTAGCCCAATGCAGGAGGAGTCACCTGAACAAGTGTCTCAAGACTCATCCAGGCATTCCTGGTATTATGTATAACCATTATTATAACGCAGCTGTGAAGCAATCGTGAGTTGTGAGCAGGGCTCCTTTAGTCTGGCGCGGGGTGTGCGAGTCGCGACTCATTGCGGGTGATTTGGTCGGATCTCGGAAGCTAAGCGGAGTCGAGCCTGGATAAAGCTTGGATGAGCGACGGAAATTTACGGCGGGTTGTGGCTGTGAAGCTGTGGGGCTGCGTGGCGGGCATCAGGGGACAGTGCAGCAACATCCATTGCTGTACTGTACTTCTATGTGACCACATCTACGCTCCTTACCTTTACCGATCCGCACTTACCAGCGTGGTGAAACATGGTCAAATGACCCTCACCACAAGCCACGTTAGCGTGGGAAAGCCCTCGTCCAGCAGTGGATTGGCAAAACGTCTGCGTGTGTATTTACTCGCTTGGCACGTGTCAACGGGCAGGCGTGGTGGAAATCACCTCCGTGAAACCGCGTCCCATTCTTTTTCCGTTGCCTGGATGCATCGCACCGTGCTTCGGCCCATCACAGAGCTCATTATCAAATTACAACGCTCACGATTTACGCATCGCATGGTGCGTGTAAAATTAGATAATGTGTGCAAAAAAATTTTTATTCCGGTCATTCTCAACCAACCCACCAATGGATGAATGACCTCGCCCACACCTTGCAGGCCATTGGGGAGAGGAAAGAGCCGTTTTGACATTACTTGTGTCACTGATATTAGCCGTGGTCGGTAATTGAATTCGGGTTAGTTTTTGTTATCACGCAGTACGATAACCGCCGCACCCCTGGTGTGTGTAGGGTAGGATTATTTTACACTCGGATTTGTGGAGAGTTTTTTAATGGTTTACAACTAAGGGAAGGGGACTTAACTCTTGTAAAGATAATTCAATATGATCGGAACTTTAAGTTTAATGTTTCGTCGCTATTGGGGACATACCCCGAATGAAAAGCGGGAAGCGTTTATCACAGGCTTGACTAAAGTTCGACAATAAATTCAACAAAGTTTGGCCTTTTTCCCATGGCGATGACGTCACACGCCATGCGCATGCGTCTGATATCATCACATGTGATGCCACGTCATGTGCAACGCGATGTCATCATCTAATCTGGCTCCAACGCTTACGTCATTCATCATTATCATCATCATGAGTCATGGTCAATCCACTGCTGGATGAAGTCCTCCCCAAGCCACTGCCATCTCTCATCCTCCTGCGATGCAACATTCCACCCACCACCTGCGCAAGAGCAGATTTCATCGCTCCATCTCCCCGGTGACAGACCTCTTGGGACACTCAATATTATTGACCATCGCACGTCAACCTTCTGCGTTTGGACTACATCAAAGGGTTGCTGAAAACTTGAAAGACACACAAACAGCCAGTGGTGCGGTTTGCACAGAGGCAAACGTGCGCTTTGCTGACAGCTCGCTGTTGCTGGCTGCTAATTAAATACGTCCAAGGGCAAATGCATACGGAAAGCGTTACATCACCCCCGTTGGGTTGAATTCAGCATTTCCATTGGCTGCAGGGGGCGATGTGAAGCGAGTAAGTAAATGCAACATACACAAGATCAAAATAATCGATGCGTGCATCGCACGATTCGATTTGCGTGTATCGTGAACATGAAGATCGATTTTAATCGCTGGATCCACGCATCGTTACTTGGCCCAACTTTAGCCAGCTGCTCGCAATCGGAAGGTTGCGCATGCAAATGGTTGCAGGTTGACTCAGCCGATCGCCCCTCCACCGTTAACAAAATGAATACTAATTTTTAGGGAAGTCAACGGCGATTTGTCCTGTGGGTCAAATTGCCCCCACCATAGGAATGTAGAATCTCCACCGCTGGCTCAGGCCTGTGAAGGGGGGAGATGAATGCCATCCTCACCATTAATCTTGAGCAGGAAATAATTTTGGCTTCCCCACATCGGCGATACGTGCACAGAATCGTGTGTGCGGTATGCACATTCTAAGCAAACGACGAACAATTGCTTCATCAATGGAATCGCGGCCCCGAATCGTGACGGGTCATCAAATGGCGAGGAAGGCTGGGGGTGAATTGGTGGGCAGTTGCTCCGAGCCACGCGGCGGAGACCGACAGAGAGAACCCTCGTCAACAAACAGAACCGCGGGACGAGCGACCATCGCTTGACGACTCGAATCGTGACCGATCCCTGGAATCGCCAGGGAAGGCGGAGAATCACCGCAAGGCTATTCCGCACCGTGCGGTGGACAGAGAGATAGAGAGAGGGGGGGGGGGGGGAACGGGAGTCCTCACATACCATCTCATCCTCCTTCCCCTCGTTCACCACCGTCTCGTCCTTTTCCGAACTTCCCATCTTCGTTCAGCTGCAGGTGAGGTGTGGTGGTGGTGGGGGGAGGGGAAACACGCAGACAAAAAACACGCGCGGGCGGACGGGCGTTAGGACGCAGAAACTCGTGAACGAAACACACGCGCGCGCTCAAACGCAAACGCCGCAGACGCGGAGCAAAAGGAAGTTCGCGGGGGTTTGTAAAGCCTGTGTCAGTCCAGGCACTAATCCAATGTAAATGAAGTCCTTGATATCCAGCCCGAGAGTCAATGGCCTCTCCCTCCGTCGGTTCACTGTGGCCAGTCGGGGCAATCAACAAGCGTCACAGGTTCAAATCCCGGGGATACGTGTTTCTCATCTCACAGAGGGCTCATACTGGCTGTGACAGAGATGCTGAGCCAACCACAACAAGGTCCGGTGTTCAAGTCAGAAGTGTTGGCGTTGATCTGTTTCTCTGGAGGCTCATAGTGGGCCTGGCGCCCATGATTAAACGGATTCTCAAGTGTAGCTCGTTGATGGTGTCAGCCCGTGTCTTCACTTCATTCCATAGATCAGCTTTGAGAACAAACGATGACGGCTGCTATGCCACCTATTATTGCCGTGGGATTAACCATGTTTGAGGAACACATGTTTTCAACCGTCGAAAGTTAAATATTACCCATGACCAAATCGCTGAGAATGCACCCAACACCATCATATCTCAGATGCTAAGCAGGATTTTTGGCCAGGATCGTGCTTGGGCGGGAGCAATTGGGCGGGAGCAACCACCACTCATAAATCAAGTGCTATAAGCTGCGGCGGCGCCTACATTGTGGGGTGCAGAGGCAAGTTGCAGCAATATCCATCGCTGTTCTGTAATTCTACGCTGCCTGCATGCATCGCCAAACCTACCTCTGACCGGCATGGCAAGGTACGGTCAAGTAATTCTCACGACCTCACGGGGCTTGGAGAGGCCGTGATGAAGCAGTGAATTGACCATGGCCAGGAGTCGGCAACCTGCGGCTCCGGAGCCACATGACTTTTTAAAGTCTGCTTCGTCACATTATTGATTAAGTATGTATGTATGTTGAACTAATTTCATACCGTACGAAGCCAACCGTGTTAATCGGAGGTGTGGGAGAAGGACAACAAAGTCAACACAAAAAGCAGTTCTAAAGTACCCTTTAGAACTCGTATTCAAATGCATTGCGGGTAATTTAATTTATTTTCTTTCTACGTGACTTTACAGAAAGAACCAAAGAGTAATTCCTGCAGTCACGAAAGCTTCGATTCTAGTTTGAACCACCTCTACGGGGAGGATTTCCTCACAACTCACACTTAACTTCTAATTTAGCAATCTTTGGGAGAATGTAATCGACCAGGTAGGGTGTTGACTGTTGTGTTAGCCAACTCTCTGTGTTGTATTGCATTATATTTCTAAGTTTACTATGTTTTTTTCTCATTCATTCTTACCTGATGATGGTTGCTTGTGTTGCAATCGAAACGTCGTATTCTATTATTATTTAATTTCTTTTCTTTCTATGCGACTTGACCGAAAGAACCAAAGAGTGCATTGCGGATCTTGAAATAACTTTTTTTTACTGGATTAACAAAAATGTCTCTTCTTTTTACTTTGCTTACCGAACCCTGACCACGGCCGATTGACAGCGATGGCTTGGGCAGGCCTCTGTCCAGAAGTGGATTGACAGACGGGGCTGTACGCGCACACGTGCGTTCCACAAGTCCTGCACACGCTGCCGGTTGTTCCCACGACTTCCTCAAAAAATACGCAAAGAGCTCTCCTTAAAAAGGTCAATTGGTCGAATTGTCGCAATGCAGGTTCTTCGTGGAAGAATCGAGAGGGGGCTTGGCGCGGCTCCTCTCCTGGGGTGGAGGACCCAACAGCGCTGCACATGTATGCCCGTGTGGGATGAGAGAAACGGCTCTGGCATGACCGCTGTAGCGGCCGTCACCCTCCGGAGCCGTTCCACAGAAAGCAGTGTGAAGTCGTGCCGCTCGCTGCGAGTTCCACAAGGAAGTTCTCTCGGTTTCAGGACAAAATTATTTCCTATTAATGTTATTATAATAGGCTTGTTTGCCCTACAAAAGACCCACTCAGTGACAAGACTCTTTTTTTTGGCAGGGTGCTGCCCAGTTTCCTGCAACAAGGTGCGATGCTGCTGCTGCTGCTACTACGTGTAATCCCAACTGAGTAATTTGCGGGTCGTTTTTCAGTTTCGGGAAATTTGTTGTGCATTACCAGTTAAGTTGCATGGGGGTTTTTTTTTTTGTAGCTACAGGAGGAAACCAGAGAACCTGGGAGGGAACGGATGTAGAAGAGTGGGGGGGGGGGCATACAAACTCCACACAGAAAGGCTCCCGAATCTGGAATCGAACCCGGGCCTTTCTTGCTGTGAGGCACAAGCTTTACGACTGCATCACCCTGCCTCTTCATGCAAAAAGAATTTAAGATTTTTTAAAAAATCTACCACAATCCACCGCTGCATGAATGCCTCCCTCCACCATACCAGCCACGGGGGTTGTTCGTTCGTGTTTCATCATACTTCACCACGCCGGCCGGCGCAGGTTGGTGAAGAGGAAGGGCAGGGAGAAGTACCAGTTTTGACATAATTCGCCAATCAAATTCAGGTTGGAGGTTTCGCAGTGCAGCGTCTTGACCACTGCACCACCACTGCCACCTCCATAATTTATAGTAGGTGGCTGTAAGTGGGGTTTTGCACAGCACAGTCCCACCTTTCCACGTTCGCCAGTCTCCTCCATTCAAATGCAAATTAGGTTGCTATGCACTGCCTGGGCCTGACAATTGGTAAAAAAAACATCACGCTCAATGTAAAGAGCTCACATTAAGTGCGGGAGACCTTGTTGAGGCGGTGAGGCGGCCCAAGCGGTTGAACGTTCGCCGATTGTTGCATGGGTTCGAGATTCTAAACCGAGAGGCAGCCCTGGTTATTACTGCGGTGTGTAACAACCCATAAAATACTACGTGCGGTCTGCTTCGCAGTGGACGTTAAGGCTGCCATGACGTCTTTCACGAAAGGCCATTGTGTGCCGGTGTCATGCTTCACATTTGACAAAACTAGAATCTAGGCAGCCTATGGCCGCCTCATACCAGCTCCTACAGAGGGCTTCTCGGTGCTTTGCGCCTTGCCCATCGCCCCCACTGATGTCATCTTCTTTCCCACCCCCCCCCCCCCAAATATGTGCCGATATTACTGACTCTATTATATGTAGGGTCAGAGGCGTAGCTAGGGGGGGGCAGGGGGGTACATATGTCCCCGGGCGCCAAGGTAAAGGGGCGCCAAAATGAGGCTTACAACGTTACATTATAACTTATTGCGGCGGGCGCGACAGCCTGAAACTACTGCACAAATCTACACCTCAACCTAAAAGTTTATATATCCCGCCACACACAGCCTACATGTCATGTAATTACATTTTGGTATGTGATTAAACGGGGGGGGGGGGGGGGAGCGCCAATTTTATAGTTTGTCCCCGGGCGCAAAATATCCTAGCTACGCCACTGTGTAGGGTGTGACTTTTTGGGGGGGGGAGGGATCGACAATTTGTGGAAACCTGTTGGAGCAACGTTTTACACCCCATATCTGGGGGGGGGGGGTCCACTTTCTATAACTTTTTCATTCAGGCCTTTTGAAAGGTTGAAGGACAAATGGACAAACGGAATGCCGGGCTTTTATAATAAGATTCGCAAATTATAAATTGGGATTACAACATGGCAAATATCGCCTCCTCTTTGCAGATCATCGAGCTTGGGCAATCGTTGGGAGCACCGGTTCTGGCTGCCTCCATCTTCGTCTGTGGTTTCTCGTGCTTCCGTTGTGCGTGTTACAAATTGTACAGCGTTGCAAGATGCAATTTGCATAACCGACTACGTAAAATAATAAACACGTTATGCTGTGCTTGCGTAGTCTGTCTGCGCTAACTTTTTTTCCAAAACTGTTTAACAAAACATATTAGGAGAACGGGAGTGAACTGAGGGCAGAACACGATGACCTACTTACAGTGCTGCACCCCCTAGCAAACAACAGCCATGGCACCGTGGTCTCGTCACCGCCCTTCAAACACCACCTGCGATTACAGCCCCACGACTTAGCAACAGCATCTCGTGACCATGTCTTATAATCAATGTGACTCATCATCAAATTAGAGATGCTATGGTCCAGCTTAAATCTTATTTCAGGCCAATGTCATTGACCCTTGATAAAACCGGTACCGCAGAGTGAACGTCAGACCATGTGCCTAAACAACACACAGCGATACAGTGGATCCTGAAGACACGTCGGAGAGCTACCTGTACGGCACAACCTCCATATCCTACGTGGGAGCAAAATGAGTAACGTGCATAGCTCTTTTTAGAGAGCCAATGGCGGTCATTGCAAATATCACGAGGCCAACCTTTCAAATGGAGGCAAAGAGGTCGTGGATGATGCCACCAGACCTCAGCCTTCCCCCCTTCCTTCCTCCTGTCGGTTTGCGCGCAATTGGGCGGTGGTGTAATTCCAAAGAGCCGCGGGGTAATTTCTTGTTCCGTCAAGACGTACATCCATTAGTTCACAAAGTTACTTCACTGCAAGGAGACACTGCAGCACGTTGGCTCCGGCTGCGATACACAGGTGTCGGCGGATCACTCTGTGATGGCACCTGTACTTCGAGACAACTATCGGCAGGAAGGCAAGGCGGCACTTGCACGAGGCAGGATAGCAAGTAGGTTCCTGACAGGTTCCATGCGTAACGAACTGTGCGAGCGTTCTCTCTTGGAAGGCATGGGGTTTTCTCCGGTCACTCTAGTTTTCATCTACAGAACAAAGATATTCAATAATCGATCGGCTAAAAAGGTCACAAAGGATGGCACTGACAAAATACGTCTCAAAATTCAACAAGACATTCCTAGAAGAGAAATAATAAAATAAATATAATAAAACATTACTTATTTTTTTGTTTGTCACCGGAGTCCTCTGTGATCGGAAAATGCCAGATAGGCTGAAGGGAAAAATATACAAGACCATCGTCCGACCGGTGGCACTCTATGGATCCGAGTGCTGGCCAGCCACAACTGTACACGAACAAGCTCTCCACACAATGGAGATGAGGATGCTCAGATGGAGCCTCAGGCTCACTCGATGGGATCGTGTCAGGAACGAAGATGTTTGGAAGCGACTTGGTGTGGCCCCCATTGCGGACAAGATGCTTGAGGCAAGGCTTCGGTGGTACGGCCATGTGATGCGAAGTGAAGAGTCATCAGTGGCCAAGACTGCCATGCGTATTGAGCCAGAGGGCCGCCGTCCACGCGGACGTCCGAAGAAGCGATGGATGGATCGAATAAAGGAAGACATGAAGACGGTCAACGCATCCCCTGAAGATGCCCTGGACCGAGCCAAATGGAGAAGACAATGCCGAAAAGCGGACCCTGCGCCACAGCGGGAACAATGCTAGGAAGAAGAAAGATTTTTATTATTTTATTATTTCCCTTCTACGTGACTTTACCTAAAGAACCAATAAGATGAATCCTTGCAGTCACGAAAGCTTTAAATCGAAATTTAAAACATTCCTAGTAACAACATAAACATTCTCCCACCAGTATAAAACATTAGCCCTACTTGGTGGTGGCACAGGTGTAACTTTCTGACCCGCCCCTACTGGACATCTGTGACAAAGAGCTTCATAGCTCATCGGATTTCTCCAGGAAAATGAAAAGATTCTGATTCTGTTAAAGCACGTGTCTCAAAATCACAAGGTTTTGAGTTAAAACCTTGGTCATGGCCGAAAAACAGAAATGGGCATCACTCTGACTGTTGCTCTGTCAGACTGGTCCCTGCCACAGGGATTTCGGATACAGGCTGATTCAAGACTCATCGTGAGACCCAGGAGTCAACAAGCATTGTGGCCTTCAAGACGATGCAAGACTGAATGGGATGTCCTTCAAAACTTTTCATTCACAATAAAATCCACGTATTCACTTCTGGAATGCATTTAACCGTTTTTCAAATGGACATTATGGCGGGTCCCCGGGGTCCCATAAGCCCCCAGCTCTCGCCTAAACATTCAATTATAATGTAAACAAAAAATTTGCTCTTTTTCACCAATGGGTTTAAAGGATGGTGGCAAGTGTTGTCTTGTTTGTTAAACTATGCCTTTAAAACTGAAAACTACTTACCTGCTGTACCTTTATTTAAATACACTATCAAAAAAATTATTTACACCCCTCTGTCAATCATCGTGTTCCTCAGTGTGGATTTGTGAACACACTTTGTAAACAGTATGTAAAAATAGTACTCGTTTTCAATGCCCTGTTCATACTGTAACAAGCGTTTATACCAATGTTACTCTACAGAGTAGTGGGTCGCCGCTCCTCTTATCCGCATTGATACGAGCAGAATGTGGGGACTATAGCTTAACCGCAAAATTGGTAGGTCACAAATTATAATGAAGATAAGGCAGCAGTTTCACTGTGTTACGCATAACGTTATGACAAATAAAGGACTTAAGTCGTGTCGGCAGTTTGAGCAGCTTTTGATAAGACTTATGATCCTGCCCGTACCCGAGCATGGAGTGCAGCGTTCGCTTGTTCAGCTCTTCTGCGCATTCGTCCTCGCTGCGCTTGGACACGACGTGACAACAGAATGATCCGTGCCAGGCGGGTCGCGGCGTTTATGTGCGCGGTGGGACGGAGTCGCCAAAAAATAAATAAATTCATTACGATTTGACTTCCGTTTATTCGGGATCCGGGGTCCCGCCATAAGGTTGAAATGTGGATGACTCATTCATTGAAAATTCAGTGAATCCATTACCTCATGTCACTCACTACCCAACCTCACCCACCCAGACTATTTAAAGTATTTACAAAGTCACAAGCCACCCGAAACGTAGAAATATCCTGGTCTTAAACAGGCATCTTGTTATTTTTAGCTCACCTCGTATTTTATACAGCGATGATGTAGGTTTGGGGAGCGCTTTATCCAGCGGTCGATTGATCTGAAAAAAGAGCTGTACAGCTCAGTGGGCCTTAGCTGGTAAAATAAAAAAAATTAAAGTAGTTTTTAGTATTATCGACATTCTTCCCAACAAGATTTCACTGTTTTTTCCTGGACGTTTCTGTTGCGTCGTCACTCTAAGATGTTCCTTGTTCATGTTTTTGTTTGTTGCGGTTGCACCCGAGTTCAAGAGCCTCATGGCTCACAGGGCTATACCTAATAAATGAAACTGAAAAACGGAATCATGGACTGATGATGAATAATCCACAGCCCTTGTTGTCAGTCTACTGCTGGATATGACTGCCACCACATGGCATGTCAGTCATAGTGGGGGTTATTTTTTACCACACCTTACCAGGCTTATTCTCTAGCAATTTGAAATACCCACCAATGGCTTAGGGCCATCGAGGTTACTGATGCCCATTCTGTGGCTCGTTAACGAAAAAAGAATCCTAAATCCGGGTCTCCATTCCTTCATGCAGCCACAATAAATGAGTCACAACCACAGTTACATAATAGGCACTCAGGTGTACAGCCAACTCTGTGTCTGTACGCGCGAGTCTGTGTGTGGCCAGATAGAGGGGGCTCAACTCCTAGCGTGGCACGGGCTAGAGGAGAAATGGGCTGATGTGATACACGAGGACATGGGGCTGAGTGAACTTGAATGGTACCAGCGGTGCCAAGATCGGCCTCTGCGGAGGAGGCTCGTAAAGGACGCTGCTACTGCTGGGCAGTTGGAGGCAGTCGCCCTCCACCAACAGCGGAGGGCAGATGAGCGACACTCACAACAACGAGCAGAGTGCCCGGGCGGATAAAATACAGCAATTTGGCACAATATGGAGCACAGGTGTTGCACCTGCCGGCCGTCTCAGTCAGTCAACCCAAGGCACCCATGACCTGCCAGTAGCGAGCCTTCGACACTTCACTAGGCCTCAATGTGCACCTAGCCTGGCACAGGCGCCGTGGTGCGGTCGCCGCCACTACATGTTGCTGTGTGTACACACACACACACAGTACACTACACATGGTACACACACAGTACACACACAGTACACTACACACGGTACACACACAGTACACTACACAGTACACACGTACACACACAGTACACTACACAGTACACACGTACACACACAGTACACAAACACACAGTACACAAACACACGGTACACACACACACGGTACACAAACACACGGTACACATACACGGTACACATACACAGTACACTAAACAGTACACACACACGGTACACACACACAGTACACACACAGACACACACAGTACACACACGGAGACACACAGTACACACACACGTACACACACACGTACACACACACGTACACACACACGATACACTAACACACGTACACACTACACACAGTACACACACACGGTACACTACACACAGTACACTACACAGTACAGTACATACACGGTACACCACACACAGTACACACACACGGTACACACACACAGTACACTACACATGGTACACACACACAGTACACTACACACGGTACACACACAGTACACACACACAGTACACACACAGTACACACACAGTACACACACACAGTACACTAACACACGGTACACACACACAGTACACTAACACACGGTACACACACACACAGTACACACACACAGTGCACTACACACGGTACACTAACACACGTACTAACACACGTACACACACAGTACACTACACACGTACTAACACACGTACACACACAGTACACTACACACAGTACACAGACACACAGTACACACACACGGTACACACGGTACACCACACACGGTACACACACAGTACACCTACACAGTACACACACACACACGGTACACACACAGTACACACACAGTACACACACACACAGTGCACTACACACGGTACATTAACACACGTACACACACACAGTACACTAACACACATACACACACAGTACACTACACACAGTACACACACAGTACACACGCACAGTGCACACACACCGCACACACACAGTACACACACACACAGTACACACACACGGTACACACACATACAGTACACACGTGTATTGCGTGAGCAGCACAGATAGTCCAAACCCCATGCAGTACACACATACAATGCACAGTTTACACGTGTGTACTGTATTACAGAATACACACGTGTGCTGTAATACAGTACACAACGTACTGTATTACAGTACGCGCGTGTACTGTAACACAGTACCCAGTGTACTGCATCACGCGTGTACTGTAATACAGTAAACACGTGGACTGCATCACGTGTACTGCATCACGTGTACTGCATCACAGAGTACCGACAGTCCACGTGTTACACGGCAGTACACACTGCGTCTCTCCTCACCGCTGTCGCGATGTCAGCTGAGCGCCATCGTCTCTCTCTCGGCGGCGGAGAAAGCTTCGTCCGTGGCCTCGCCTCGTCTGCCCCGTCGCCTCGTCTCACCTCGGCGAGTTATACGAGAAGCAGGCGGATAGACAGAGAGACAGAGAGACAGAGAGACAGACAGGGAGGGAGAGAGACAGAGAGAGAGAAGGCCGGGACCGCGTGGGGGGTAGACTCTGGCAGCCACTCTCCCTCCCACTCCACCAGCACTGTACTGTCACTCTCACTCCCTCCCTCTCAGCTCTCGGCTCTCTCTCACACTGACGTGGAAGTGACGTACCCCCCCCCTCCCCTCAATGCCCCTCCCTCAAGCCCCCTCCCCTCAAGCCCCCTCCCCTCAATCCCCCTCTCAATTTCCCCATCTCAATTCCTCCTCCCTTCAATCCCCCTATCAATCCCCCCTCCCCTCAATTCCCCTCCCCTCAATCCCCCCTCCCCTCAACCCCCCTCCCCTCAACCCCCCTCCCCTCAACCCCCCCCTCCCCTCAACCCCCCCTCCCCTCAACCCCCCCTCCCCTCAATCCCCCTCCCCTCAACCCCCCTCCCCTCAACCCCCCCTCCCCTCAATCCCCCCTCCCCTCAACCCCCCTCCCCTCAACCCCCCCCTCCCCTCAACCCCCCCCTCCCCTCAACCCCCCCTCCCTCAACCCCCCCCCCTTCCCTTAGCCCGCCCTCCCCTCAAACATCCCTCCAACCCCCCCTCCAACACCCCCTCCAACCCCACCCGCACACCCCCACCCGCAACACCCCCCCTCAACGCCCCCCCTCTAACAACCCCCCCCCCGTCAACCCCCCCCCCCCGTCAACCCCCCCCCACCCACCCTCCTGGATTCACAAATTCAACCCCCCGGCTCGCGATTCCCGAATTCAATTCCCGAATCGATCCTCTCGGCTGGGATTTCTCATTATTCGCTCTCAGAAGGCTGCGTGGCTGATGGAATGTGTACAAATAAAAATAAATTGTATTTTTCATGCGGAGAGACAGATATGGGAGCGAGACGTAACGTCTGCTTTTTTAAATATAATTATATGTCGTGTAGCTGATGGGATGTGTTAAACCAAATAATCCGTAGCAGTTTCCTCAATTGGCTAGAGAGCTGCGAGCGGCTGAAGAGCGCCTCCCAACGCCGAGAAGGCGACCCTGACTCGTTTGGCTTCGAGTCTTTCACGAGAGAGGCAGCAGGAAGGCAGAGGGCATCGATCGGTGTTCGTACCTGTGTCGCCTTCATTAGGAATCATCAGATTTTTTTCGGTAAAGTCACGTAGGTAAAAAATTAAAATTAATAAAAGTAAAATAAAAAATAAATAAAAATCACGACGTTTCAGAGGCAACACAAGCCTCCGTCTTCAGGTGGAACCGTCACAGCACGTTAGCGGTATCAATTGATACAGCTATCGCTTGATACAGCTATTTTTATTTTACTTTTATTAATTTAAATTTTTTACCTACGTGACTTTACCGAAAAAACCTAAGAATATGAATCCTTGCAGTCACGAAAGCTTCAAATCTAGAAGGAATCATCAGAGCAGTGGAGCCATGATGCCATACCTGACGCCTGTTAAAACGAGATGCTAATGTGTGCCACCATTATCGGTACTTATCAGCATGCAGTTTGTACTTATTTACCTAATTCATTTTTTATATTATCTTCGTGACTTGCTTACCTATTCTCTATTTTGCACTCCTATTGGGGTTTTTTTTTGTATTGTTGTAACTTTCTGACCCGCCCCTACTGGACATCTGTGAAACACATTCCTGCGGAGGGAGCTGGTAGGAACGTTGGGTTGCTCGGTCAATGGCCAGGGTCAACGGCGGCGTGGTGTATTCCGCAAATATGCCCGACTGTGAGGGCGGGCACAGGCCGGCGTGAATAGGTGAAACGTTGAGTTTTATAAGGGCACCACGGGGTGACCAGCCCCTCACCACCCAGCCCCACCCCTCCCACCCCCCACCCAACCCCACCCTTTATCCAGCCCCTCCCCACCCAGCCCCTCCCCACCCTCCCCACCTAGCCCCTCCCCACCCTCCCCTCCCCACCAAGCCCCACCCTCCCTACCCAGCCCCTCCCCACCGTCCCCTCCCCCCCAGCCCCTGTCCACCCTCCCCACCCAGTCCCTCCCCACCCTCCCCTCTCTACCCAGCCCCACCCCTCCCATTTTTGGATGCACGACGGACGGACGGACACAATAATCCCTTGTGGGCTGGTGTAACCAGGAGGTTCCTACCAATAAAATATCTTCATAGCTCATCGGATTCCTCGAGTCTAAAGATTCTGAATATGTTCAGCCAACGTGAGTCACAACCCTGTTGAATAAAACATTTAATCTCGAGTGTATCTTTTGCTTAATCACGCGTGAAACTCAGGAGGGTATAAACAACAACAACAACACAAACCCCAACCCATTAGTCAATAACACTGTGGCACTGAATCGAAACGATATAATAGGTGACGTTTTAGACAACGGACCTTCTCCATAGGCCATACATCGAGATGACGGAGTGGACTAAAAAAGTCGGAGACTGCAAAAGCATGGGGCCTGATGAGAATTGCAAATTTTTTCAATGTTTCCTGATGAACAATTTTTTTAATTGCCATATACTATAAACTAAAACTACTTTTTAATTTTACTAGGTAAGGCCCACTGAACGATATACTGTAGCTCTTTTTCAGTAGCGACCTGGCCACAAATGATATGACAATGAAGTGGCTTATACTGGTAGGAACCTCCTGATTACACCAGACCACAGGGGATTATTGTGTCCGTCCGTCGTGCAGGGAGGGGCTGGGTGGGGAGGGAGGGGCTGGGTGGTCAGGGCAGGGTGGGGTGGGGCTGGGTGGGGAGGGAGGGAGGAGCTGGGTGGAAAGGGGAGGGTGGAGAGGGGCTGGGTGGGGAGGGTGGGGAGGGGCTGGGTGGGGAGGGTGGGAAGGGGCTGGGTGGGGAGGGTGGGACTGGGTGGGAGTTGTGGGGCTGGGTGGGGAGGGGCTGGTCACCTCGTGGTGCCCTTATAAAACTCAACGCTTAACCTACTCACGCCGGCTTGTGCCCGCCCTCACAGTCGGGCATATTTGCGGAATACACCACGCCGCCGTTGACCCTGGTCATTGACCAAGCAACCCAACGTTCCTACCAGCTCCCTCCGCAGGAATGTGTTTACGTGGAAATGTATACCAGCTATTCTTCACGTACGAACAGTTACCAAGAGAGCATGATATTCGAATCTTTCAAGAGTGACTTGGGTCACCAAAATGGCAATTTTAATTCGATGCAAACAAGGACAAGATCGAAGCAAATATAAATCGGAGTAATACAACGAAGCCCTGCGTACGTTATGTCCATTGAGCAAACAATAAATCAATATTGAAGAAAATAATTTTTCTGTAACGACAGTTGGCTCAGACAAATTACGTACAGTATTAAACAAAAACTAAATCAAAGTAAAATTAAGTTACGGAAACATCAAAATGGATTTCGGGTGATTATTGCACTAGTGCGTAAACAGGCAAGGTTATATGTCAAATAAAAAAAAACAAATCTGTTTAAATTGCGAGGCAAGTGTAAATGTTCCACTCCAGTTAAACATTTCTGTTTAGAAATTCCATTCAGGTAACACGTGCCACTCAAGTGAATAATTTCACAAGCAATCATCATCATTGCTTGTGTTGCAATCGAAATGTCGTGATTTTATTTATTTTATTTTATACCTACGTGACTTTACCGAAAAAACCAAAGAGTATGGATCTCTGCAGTCACGAAAACTTCAAATCTAAGCTCTCGTATCTGTGACCATCTTACCCACAAAGCTGATAATCTGCGGGAACTGTAGAGTCCGTGACAAATCATTATCCGTGCCCTAATCATATGCGGGGTTTCCCACTCTACTTTGCAGAACGGGTTTCCCGTGTCCCGCATGATCACGGAAGAGGGAAGACAAGTAGCAAAACACATTCCTGCGGAGGGAGCTGGTAGGAACGTTGGGTTGCTCAGTCAATGGCCAGGGTCAACGGCGGCGTGGTGTATTCCGCAAATATGACCGACTGTGAGGGCGGGCACAAGCCGGCGTCAGTAGGTTAAGCGTTGAGTTTTATAAGGGCACCACGGGGTGACCAGCCCCTCCCCACCCAGCCCCACCCCTCCCACCCCCCACCCAGCCCCACCCTCCCCACCCAGCCCCTCCCCACCCTCCCCACCCCACCCAGCCCCTCCCCACCCTCCCCTCCCCACCCAGCCCCTCCCTGCACGACGGACGGACACAATAATCCCCTGTGGGCTGGTGTAACCAGGAGGTTCCTACCAGTATTAAACGGCTCTTATCGATTATCTGTTCATGCCCTAAACACGTGGAATGCCATCGCTTCAAAGGTGTCACTGGTTACTCTCCAAATCTAAATTACAAATTGATGCTGAGATGTAGATTTTTTAAATAGATTTCACTTACCATTCAATTTGGCAAAAATCCTCGTATATTTACAAATTAGAACAATGGTCGCCCGACATTTGTTAAATGTTTCTATAACTTAATTTGTAATTGCGCTATGAGCAGTCAAATAGTAATCTGCCCTCGTTAACGTACGCTACAGGAAATGTATTACTTAGCATTGATTTATGTGTGTGCAATGTGTTCCATTCATCATGGCACACAGTTGTGTTCGCTCTGATTTATGCTTGATTGCTATTTGCATTACTTTATATTGTTTTTTTGGTTTTGCCATGTTGATGAACCCAGGTCAGGATTGTGACAACCCTGGTCTCAAAGTTTTTCATCTGGATAAATAAAATAAACTGGACTATTTTATATTATTGGTTCTTTTGGTAAAGTCACGTAGAAGGGAAATAATAAAATAAAACGAATAAAACAATCACTATTTTTTTTATAGTTTTTTATATTTTATTATTTCCCTTCTACGTGACTTTACCGAAAGAACCAAGAATATGAATCCCTGCATGCAGTCACGAAAGCTTTAAATCAAAAATTGTACTATTTAATCCTAGATTTGAAGCTTTCGTGACCGCAAGGATTAATACTCTTTGCTTTTATCCGTAAAGTCACGTAGGTACAAAATAAAATAAATGAAAACAACTCAATTAAATCACGACGTTTCGGGCGCAACACAAGCCTCCTTCGTAGCTTTCGCTGAGTTGTCCCCCCCTGAAGAAGGGAGCTCGTGATTTCATTGAGTTGTCTTCTTGGTTCTTTCGGTAAAGTCACATATAATGGAAATAATAAAAATAACTCATTATTATATTATTTTATTACGTAAAATTTTATTATTTTATTATTTCCATTCTACGTGACTTTACCGAAGGAACCAAGAAGATGAATCCCTGCAGTCACGAAAGCTTTATATCGAAATTTCATTGAGTTGTTTTCATTTATTTTATTTTTTACCTATGCGACTGTACTATTTTACCGTGACGATCTGCAATTGTATTTTATCCCCCAGCGGATAAGTGGAGTAAAAACCCAAGGTTACTTGGTCCCGACATGAGCGCGGATAAGTGGAGTTCTCCCACATTAGTAAACAAAGTATTTGGTGATGCTGCGTTGGTTAGTGGTGCCCAAGCACAAATAACCGCAACTAAACACATTCCCCCATAACACTGTCTTGATGAGCGATGACAAAGGCCCATTGCCCAAAACGTTGCCTATTATATATCGTCTACAATACGGTATATAATTTAAGGCCACACACACACCGTGTTATTTGCAATTGTGTTGAGTTTTGTATTATCTTGTGCCAGCAAATTTTTACGATTTTACTTTCAACATAAATAATTGTATTTAGTGCTGATACTCTGTAAGATTGTAGGGTTTGTCCGTCACTCAATTGTTTACTTATCGCCGATCTCTCCAATGGCCAACTCTCATTATCCAACTCTCATTATCCACTCCATCTCTTATCGGCTTACTCTCTTATGGCCTTTGAAAAAGAGGAGGGCCATTTCCCGAATCGTCACCTATTATAACGGGTTATAAAGACAACTATGTCCCGTGTAGCCTGTAACAGACAATAGGTGCAAGTGCTGTTAGCGAGCACCTATGAAGGCCGACACGGCACACGAGGGGGTGGGTGGCCAACACCACGCCCGGCCGTCTTTGTCTTCCCAGTAAGACAAAGACAACCACACACACACACGTTGCTGCTACTGCTGCTAATCGTTCAGATTTATCCGTTGACGTTGCCAGCGACGAGTGTGACGTCGGCGCGCCGGGCGTGACGTCACAACGCAGGGCGTGACGTCATCGCGCAGGTCCGTCGACTGAGCGCGGCGGAGGAGCGCACGGCGCCGCCTTGCATCATTGCACGTCTCACGAGCGCGCGTGATCGTTGCTTGCCGCCGCGTCGCCGCTCCGCTGCTGTGCAATAAAACTAAAGATAACAAAGCAACGTCGACGGACAAACAAACAAACAAAAACCACGCGCGCCGTAGCGCGATTAACCCAAAAAAATAATGATGATGATGTGCGCGTGGTTTCGTTAAGCAATTGCATTGAGTTGGAGAGCGTTGCGGCGACTGCCGCCGCGTTGAAGGGGAGCGAGGATCGAGGAGGAGCAGCAGGAGCAGGAGGAGTAGCAGGAGGAACAGCAGGAGGAGGAACAGCAGCAGGAGGAACAGCAGCAGCAGGAGGAACAGCAGCAGGAGGAACAGCAGGAGAAGCAGCAGCAGCAGGAGGAACAGCAGCAGGAGGAACAGCAGGAGGAGGAGCAGCAGGAGGAGCAGCAGCAGGAGGAACAGGAGGAGGAGCAGCAGCAGGAGGAACAGCAGCAGCAGGAGCAGCAGCAGGAGGAGGAACAGCAGCAGCAGCAGGAGGAACAGCAGCAGGAGCAGCAGCAGGAGGAACAGCAGCAGCAGCAGGAGGAACAGCAGCCGCAGGAGGAACAGCAGCAGCACAAGGAACAGCAGCAGGAGGAGCAGCAGGAGCAGCAGCAGCAGGAGGAACAGCAGCAGCAGGAGGAGGAGGGGGGGCTGGGAGCAGCCTCGTTCTTGATTCCCCACGCGGAGCGCCGGGAGGAGACGAGATCACAGCGGAGACGACGAGAGAGGCTTCTTGACCAGCAGCAGCAGCGGCAGCGGCACCATCATCATCATCAGCAGGGTTAATATGAGCATCAGCAGCATCAGCAGCAGTTGGGTTAATGTGAGCATCAGCAGGGTTAAAAGCATCGTCATCAGCAGCAGCGGTGGCGGCGTTAATATCATCAGTAGCAGAGTTAATCATAATTTTCATCAGCAGCAGCGATAGTATCGTGGTTAATATCACCAGCAGCAGTGTTCAAATCATCAGCGGCAGTGCTAATATCAGCAACAGCCTTAGTCTCATAATCAGCGGCAGTGTTAATATCATAATGAGCCTTATATATCATTACGAGCGTAAATATCACCATCAGCAGCAGCAGCGGTCGTATCATCATCACCAGCAGCATCAGCGTTAGTAGCAGCAGCGGCGTTAGTATCAAGAGCATCAGCAGCGGCGTTGATGTCATCAGCATCAGCAACGTTAGTATCATCATTACTAGCAGCAGTGTTTGCATTAAAATCAGCAGCAGCATCAGCAGCGTTAGCAACAGCAGCAGCGTTAATGTCAACATCATCATCAGCATTTACATGAACAACAGCGTTAAATACAGTGATCATTATCAACATATTCAGCATCAGCAGATTTAACATCATCAGCATCATCAATATAATTATTAACATCAGCAAATGTGAACATCATCATTAACGTGAACATCATCATCGTCTGCAGCATTATCATGAATATCGTCAGCATCATTCATATCAACATGATCATAATCAGTAACTGCATCATAACATTTACAGCATCATCATTATGAGCAATATCGTCAGCAGCATCAGCAACGCCACCATCAGCATCATCTACATGAAATAATTAAACATGATAAACACCATCAGAACAACAAAGTACATATAAATAACTTAATCATCACGATTTGCCATCAACAACCGTAACTTCAGCGTCATGGAGTTTGTCTACCTCGTCATACTATCTTCATCATAATCAGCATTATAAAGTACAATATCAACTTAATTAAACATCATTGTCACTAATTATGTAAGGAAGTGTAACAGAAAATTAATGCACAATGCAGTTAGTTATTCGGGGACTGCTGATGGTTTGGCATATTGCACAAGGACTTGATGCTTTTGTACGCGTTTCTGTGCGTGGTTTTAAACTTGCAATGTTTTTGCTTGAACATTTTTTGCTCTGTTACGATGGGTCTACTCGTAATTTCCAGATTTGACAGAGGCAACGATGCGTAGTCACGACTCTGTATATACAGTACAGGTGTGTACATGTATGTGCCGTATGCGTGTTTGTGTATTAATCTCCTGCGACTGGCCTGCCGATATTGTTGAGAAAGCAATCCGGAGCCAGAGACCAGTAAAGCGCCATGCAGAGATGACCTCCCAAACGTACGTAATAGAGGATGCCAATTGTTTGCGAGCTGCCCTATGTGGCATAATTACAAGCGTTTGGTCCGTATGATGGGTTTTGAAGAATTGAAGAATGCCCTGGTGGTCCCACTCTTTAAGAATGATGGGCGTCACAGATTGTAACAACTACCAGGGCATCTTCCTCCTCAGTGTGCCGGCAAAGGTCCTGGCAAGGATGATTCAACATCGCCTTGTCAGGCTTGCGGAGCCCCGATGTGGTTTTAGACTGGGGTGGTCCTATGTTGTTTGTTGTCCATACCCCTCACTCACTTCCAATTACCACGGTTGACTACGTACTGCGTGAAAGAAGTTCAACATATGTACATACAGATGCAATATTCTCTGTCCGCCTGTTACACCAGAGGTGGAGGGATATTTGACGGGACCTACATCTCTGCTTTATTAACTTAGTCAAGGTCTATGATTCCATCAATAGGCCTAGGTTTTGGGTTGTTATTCGTGCTTTCAGGAGCCCTGCCTCTCTGTTTGCAATTATTTTGGATCTTCAAGGTTGTGAACAGGCCTGGGTAAAAATGTGTGGGCCGGTAGTCGAAACCATTTTCTCTTAACCTTGGGGTGCAACAGGTATGTAATGTCCATGTAATTCGAGAAGCTTTCCATGGCAGTATCGGATACATTTCCATCTGGTACAAATACAATAGGCGGATGCCTGGGTGCAATCAAGGGATGGCTCCAGATTGGTCAACTATGTTACGTATGCTGATGATCTGGTCATTGCTGCTCACTGAGGAGATTTATAATCTACTGCTGAACCTGGAGCATGCTAATAAGAAGTGGGGCCGTACTTCCAACCACACCAAAACAAAGCACCTGCCTGGATATTTTATGTTATCAAACACTCCCTCAACTCTCCATGAGTGATGGGGCAGTTGTGAAGAGAGTAGAAAAGTTCCCATTCCTGGCTAGTGTCCATATGACCAGCTCCGGTTTTTCGCAACGGAGGTCTCACTATGGAATCAATCGAGCGGAATCGTTTCATCGGCTGCGTAATGCTGTGTTGAAGCTACTTGGCCTATCGCGAGTTTGCTCGGCCAAAGTTACGTGTGCTTGTGAAACATGCTTCTGAAACGTGGACTCCTTTGAATGAACACCTGCACCGGTTTTAAAGATTCAGGCTGGCCTGCATAAAATCCATCCTGGTTTTAACTGAACTGGATTGTGTGATTATCACAGATCCTTGACCAATCTATACCCGGGTCCCAGCGCCTCTGGCAGGTAAGGCTGCGTTGGCTGGGTCATGTAGCCCACATGCCCAACCACCGCATGCATAATCAGCTTCAGTTTGGCCGGATAGAGGGGACTGAACGGGCCCGGCACATGCTAGAGAAGAAAAGGACTGATGCGGCACAGAAGAATTTGGAGCTGAGTGGACTTGCCGATGACTGGTAACAACGGTGTCAATATCGGCCTCTTTAGAGAAGCATTTTGAAGCCCACACGTGGGCAGTTGGAGGCAGTCGCCTACCAGTCACAGCGAAGGCCAGATGAGTGACGCTCACAACAAAGATAAGAGCGCCGGGCGGATAAAACCTCAGCAAGTTGGCACAGCAGGGGGGACAGGTGGTGCATCTGCCCAGAATCTCAGGCAGTCGACCCATGGCACCTGGGTCTGTTCCGTAACCTGCCAGCGGGCGTTTGACACTTCATGTGGCCTCAAAGTGCACCTAGCCTGGCACAAGTGTCGTGGTTGTTGTTGTTATGGCTGTGCATGTACGTAGAGTATTTGTGTGGATGCATTTTTGTGTTCATGGACATGTGCATGGATGTGATTGTATTCGTGTTTTCAGACGTGTATGTTCGTGTGCTTTTATGTGTCTACAGTATATGTATGCGCGTCTGTGTGTTTATGTTATGTCTACATGTGCTTTTGTGTATTTATGTGCGTGTGTGTTTATAATATAATACATGGGAAGCGGTGGTGCAGTGGTTAGCGCGCTGCGCTACGAACCCGGCCACCTGGGGTTCGATTCCCACTCATGGCCAATACCTGCGACGATTACCTGAACCGGTCCTGGGCCTCCCCTAGGTCGACTCAGCCTCAAATTAGTACCTGGTGCGGTGTGTAAACATCGGCACTAGGGAGACAAAGGCGGTCGGGCGTGGTGCTGGCCACCCACCCCCTCGTGTACCGTTTCCGGCCTTCACAGGTGCTCGCTAACAACACTTGCCCCTACAGTCTGTTAAAGGCTACACGGGGGGACCGTTGTCTTTGTCTTATAATTGGGGTTGTTAAACGACTAAACCGGTAACCGTTCACCATTATCGGTGCACGGGCACGACAGGGCGGGGGGGCCTGCAATCGTTTCCTGTGCAAATGCTGTGAACGAAAGCACCGATTACTCTGGCGCGGTGCGTTCCGACCAATTCTCAGACGAGGTTAACCGGGGCTAAAGGCGCAACCCCGCAAGTTTTGCCGGCTCACGCTGGAGGGAGCTCCAGAGGGCATCTGTTCGATGCTATCGCCAGACGCGTGTAGAACTTCTTTCGCTCCGTGCGTAGCCAAACCCGTGCTTATCGGAGGTGCGGGGGAGGGACACCAAACTCGTGTTGGAAGTGGTGACAGGACACCCACATAATATTATTATATTATTTTATTATGTTTTATATTTATTATTTTATTATTTCCCTTCTACGTGACTTTACCGAAAGAACCAAGAAGAGGACACCCTACACTTGACTTGAACCCTCACCCGCACAAATAACGACGGATGCGGATACCTGATGCACAAATGGAAATGTAAAATCTCTTCAGTCGTGTGCGACTGTGGTCATCCAGAACAGACCGTGCAGCGTACAACGACGCAATGTCTTCTTGGTTCTTTCGGTAAAGTCACGTAGAAGGGAAGTAATAAAATAATAAAAATAAAAGAATGAAAGCATTCTTCACCTGAGAATAATCAAAATAAAAGAATGAAAGCATTCTTCACCTGAGGACGGCTGCTTGCGTTGTGGCCGAAACGTCGTGAGAATTATTTTATTGTTTTATTTTTATTATTTTATTACTTCCATTCTACGTGACTTTACCGAAAGAACCAAGAAGATGAATCCCTGCAGTCACGAAAGCTTTACATCGAAATTTAACGACGCAATGCCCGATCTGCTGCTCCTGACGCGATTGTCTGGCTTTGACCACGTGAACGTGAAATTGTAGCTGATCATCTGCATCGGCATCAACCACCACACTCAACCTGCCAATCCACACTAACCGCGGAGTTGCCCCATTATCATGGGTGGAAAAAAAAACCGATTTTTTTCTAGCGGCAGGCATCGGGTTTTTTCTTTAATGCAATTAAACCCGATTTCGGGGAATTAAAACCTGGTTTAATGAATACGAAACTCTGATCCAAGGCTTAGGCTGCTTCCTCGTCGGTGCTGCTATCGTACTCGGGGGGGCCGTCGGGCACGGGGTAGTCGTAGAATGCGGCGGGCAGGTTGGTCTTGATGAACACGAGCTTCTCCTCCACAATCGTGGGCGCCGCCAGTGAGTTCCTTCGCTTGGAATGGATGAAGCCCATCGTTCTGCAATTAGAACCAATTAAACCGGATTTCTCCCAATCTCAGATGATCGGGTTTAATATAAAAAGATAATTAATCCCGATTGTAAAAAACCCGACTGTGCCACCCTTGCCCAGTATATCGCTGGGTGGTCAGGGCCGGTTGGTGGTGGTGGGGGGATGAACAAACTTTCCTTCGTTGACCTTCTTGGTTCTTTCGGTAAAGTCACGTAGAAGGGAAGTAATAAAATAATAAAAATAAAACATAATAAAATAATTAAATAAAACATAATAACTAGATTTTTCTTATTATTTTATTACTTCCCTTCTACGTGACTTTACCGAAAGAACCAAGAATATGAATCCCTGCAGTCACGAAATTTCCTTTGTTGTTTCGAGGATCACGCCATGTCCAGCTTGCTAACCGTTGAACGACAGCAGCTGCCTCTGTTTTCTCGGTCACTTCGGTATACGCGGTGTGTGCTCATTGCTCTAGACCAGTGGTTCTTAACCTTTACTGCAGCCTTGCACACATTTTCGTTCTCAATCGTAAAAAAAGAAAAGTATAACGTTATAATAAAGACATGGGTTACGTGTCCGTGCTACATTTGTCTTTCGATGATTTACCTTCTAAAAAAAAATCTGGCCGTGGCTCGCCACCCCCAAGGGACTGATTCGTGACATTTATTAAGCATGAACAGTTTCGTATTCACATTGCAATTACGGCTCTTGATATCTTGATACATTTTTTACCGAATTCGAAAAATGCCTTTCCTTTTCTGTTTTGGTTTGTCGACCCTTGCTCGAGACATTCCTAAATGTGCGGCAAATCGGTAACCGGGCCTTGTTTTGAACCAGTATTTACCATTCGCTTACTGGCAATGCAAAAAAATTAATATCGATGTTAACAAACCTGGTTGATTTATGTCTGTGTGTTTGTTCGTCTTTATGTTGCTAAGGATTTAGCTTGCGAAGAGTGGCCACGGGGCTATGGGCTGTATCGGCTCACGGAGGAGCATAGGTAAGAATTGCGCACCCCACTCCACACACACACAAAACAAAACAAATATAAAGATTCCCCGTATAGCCTTTAACAGACTGTTAGGACAAGTGCTGTTAGCGCGCTCCTATGAAGGCCAGCACGGCACACGAGGGGGTGGGTGGCCAGCACCACGCCCGTCTGTCTGCCGTTGTCTTCCAAGTGGCGATGTTTACACACCGCACCAGGTACTTATTTGAGACCGAGTCGACCTAGGGGAGGCCCAGGACCGCTTCAGATAATCGTCACTGGGTGTGTCGGCCGTGAGCGGGAATCGAACTCGGGTCGCCGGGTTCGTAGTGCACCTACGCACATGTACGTCACACAGATTTGACACACACCTACACGCCAGATTTGACACACACCTACACGCCAGATTTGACACACACCTACACGCCAGATTTGGCACACACCTACACGCCAGATTTGACACACACATACACGCCAGATTTGACACACCTACACGCCAGATTTGACACACACCTACACGCCAGATTTGACACACCTACACGCCAGATTTGACACACACCTACACGCCAGATTTGGCACACACCTATACGCCAGATTTGACACACCCCTACACGCCAGATTTGGCACACACCTACACGCCAGATTTGACACACACTACACGCCAGATTTGACACACACCTACACGCCAGATTTGACACACACTACACGCCAGATTTGACACACACCTACACGCCAGATTTGACACACACTACACGCCAGATTTGACACACACTACACGCCAGATTTGACACACACCTACACGCCAGATTTGACACACACCTACACGCCAGATTTGGCACACACCTACACGCCAGATTTGACACACACCTACACGCCAGATTTGGCACACACCTACACGCCAGATTTGGCACACACCTACACGCCAGATTTGGCACACACCTACACGCCAGCTGGCTCGGCGGTAGAGCAAGCGGTTCGCAGTTTGGAAGCGTGGGAGTTCAAACCCTGGTTGGGGGGGGAGGGAATGGGGGGGGGGGGGGGGGGGAATGGGGGGGTGACTAAGCCCATCATATCTCCGGGGTCGATAAAATAGATACCACTTCGTAGGGAGGGTCAAAAGTAGTTGTCCTGTGGATGGACTCACCTCTGCCATATGAATGTTGAATTTCCACAACTGACTCAGGCCTGTAAACTGGAGATGGTCGCTGCCTCATTGATTGTTTGAGCAGGAGACCACTCTGACTTACGACTATGCCACACACTCCACACACCCACAGATTATACACGTGCTGTACATTGTGCACACCCACGCAACAGTTATTTTTAAGATGCCACATTGCTGATGAAACTCTGAAAAGTTGAGACCAGTCGAGAGTTTGCTTGCTTTGAACAAACGCCGCTGGATAACATAGGCCATGGAATCTGCATAGGACGATGGACACAGAGACCCACGGACTCTCTCGTCTGTATATAACTCGTAATCCACTCAAGGCGAATGATGACTGGTGGCTGTTGATGTACACGCGCAGCCCTTTTAACAATCCACTGCTGGATGAGGTCCTCCCATCCTCTACGCTGTGCGGGTCGTGGGCTGTTATTCGACCATACTTCACCACGCTGCTCAGTGTGCGTTTGGTGAATGTCCAACGATGTGGAGGCGTAGAAGTACAGCACAACAATGGATGTCGCAGCACACCCGCCTCTGCTGTTCGCCACGTGGCTACGCAGAGGCTGATGGCAACGTTGGTTCGTCGTGGTCACCCGTCCAAGCACTGCCAGGCTGAAAGCCGGCTTAGCTTCCTAGATCTGTTGAGATCAGACGCGTTCCAGGTGATTTGATCGCCAGGGTTGCTCGTGCGTTTGTTGTATTTTAACACATTCCTGCGGAGGGAGCTGGTAGGAACGTTGGGTTGCTCGGTCAATGGCCAGAGTCAACGGCGGCGTGGTGTATTCCGCAAATATGCCCGACTGTGAGGGCGGGCACAAGCCGGCGTGAGTAGGTTAAACGTTGAGTTTTATAAGGGCACCACGGGGTGACCAGCTCCTCCCGACCCAGCCCCACCTCTCCCACCCCTCACCCAGCCTCACCCTCCCCACCCAGCCCCTCCCCACCCTCCCCACCCAGCCCCTCCCCACCCTCCCCTCCCCACCCAGCGCCTCCCTGCACGACGGACGGACACAATAATCCCCTGTGGGCTGGTGTAACCAGGAGGTTCCTACCAGTATAAGAGCAATAGGAGTAGTTTTGTTACCATTACTAATTGTGTACTTTTTTCGCATTTAAACTATAGATTTTTGACCATTCACAAATGTCAAACCCCACCGCATTACTATTCATTGCAGGGATTTTCTGTAATTATATTCGTACATTCACCATGCTTCATCATTCTCACAATACCCATTAGAGTAATTTCATCTGGTGCTTAGCAAGGATTTATGATGTTGTTCTACGTTGTCTGGGGAGAGGAGAGGTGGCGCAGCAGTTAGCACGCTACGCTGTGAACCCCCGGGGCTTGAAGTTCAGCTCCTTAGCCACGGCTAGCGGCAGTGGCCGAGTGACATTTGAACTCGTCCTGAACCGTTCTTCCCCCATCACCAAACCGCACTAGACCAGCGTGTGAAGTATGATCCCCCCCCCCACCCCCTCCCAATGACTGCTACGGCCTCAGGAGGCTTGGATCCAGCAGTGGATTTGCAGAGTGCTGTGGGGTTTTTTTTAACATATCGTGATGCGTCATTGGTGCTGACCTGGGTGGGAATGTGGAATTTCCACCACGGGTAGAGGGCTACTGACAGCAGACAAGCACACACAGTGCAGGCTTGGGCAGGGTGGAATGCGTACATATTCTGAAAATAACATTTTTATGAAGGGCATAAAGCAGCAGCAGTGCGCACTTTGTAATGCAGAAAGCTCTTTAAAGATTTAAACATTTATTACCGGTCTCGTTCAATTCCCCTGCGTAAGCATTGGCGGGGGGGGGGGGGGGTTCTACACTCAAGCGTTTTCCCTGAAAGGGTTAAACAAAGAATTATGGAGCTGCGTGGGAGGGCAGTCGGCATGATTTAGCTCTGATTGTGCCTCATGTTACGTACACACGGCACGCACGCACTTAGCACGCTCTATGCGATGCAAGCATCACCATCATGTGCCCTGATCTATCAACTGCTGGATGAAGGCCTGCCCAAATCATCCGTCGCTGTCTCTCACAGTCCCGCTATGTGGCAACTCACTTAGCAACTGCACTCGGTCCACGTGGCTTTCCCTCCTGCCCCCCACGGGAGTGCAATTTATGTGCGAAATAATTCGAACGAAGCACACGACTACATAGCTAAAGTCCTTTGTCAATTCACTGCTCGATGAAGAAGGCCTCTTCCGTGCCGTGTCGGTCATTGTTTGACTTTGACCATACTTCACCATGCTGGTCAGCGCTTGTTGATGAAGACGGACGGGAATTGTGGAGGCGTTTGGGGGGGGGGCCACACAGTGGGGGGTTTTTTGCCCCGGCCGCCGCACCCCCACATCGACGACCCTGACCGCCGTGGCCGGGCATGGAACTCGGGTGGCCGGGCTCGTGGTACAGCACCCCAACCACTGCGCCACCGTTCCGCGCTACGTATGCAGCGTACGCAGTATATTTAAACATTGGCACGTGCATGCCTACACACATTACGAGATATGTCTTGCTACGTGATGAGTCACCCTTCTTGCCGCTCACGCTTTTGATTCATTTCACCCTCCTGCTTTGTAAAGGAGACGGGCAATCTCATTCCGTGCTCTCTCGTTTGAGCATTACTTGTTCACTCGTGCATCTCTCTCTCCCCTCGTTACGTTGGTCCCGTGCGCATCGTCCAATCTTGTCCTCCCGGCGTCCCGCCTCGATTGGTTGCCGTCTCGCTGATAACTCTGTCCGTCTCGTCGTGTTCGTCATCGGTCTTGCACGGCGTGTATGGTCTGTCCCATCCGCTGACCGTGGTTCGTTTTGTTCGGTCTCGCTCGTCCTGCGTCATCACTTGCTGTGTTCTCGTGCGCTGTCGTAACATGGGAGCATTTTGCGCAACGATGACGCGAATCGACGGAACTGGCTTCCCGTTTCTTCTCAAACACCCGAGGCTCGTCTTTAAGTCTCTACGTGGCCTTGACCCAGCTCATCTTACCTCTCTGATCTCCTTCCATGTTTCCTCTCGTCCTCTTCGTTCCCAATCTTCTCTCTGTCTCTCTCGCTCTCTCTGTCCCTCCTTATTCCTGTGCCCAAACCCGCTTGCAGCACCTCTCCACTCGAATCAACTTCCCTTGTACATTAAGCAGCACTGCTCATAGACTCAACACTGCCCATAGACTCAACACTGCCCATAGACTCAACACTACCCCATAGACTCAACACTGCCCATAGACTCAACACTGCCCATAGACTCAACACTGTCCATAGATTCAACACTGCCCATAGACTCAACACTGCCCATAGACTACCACTGCACATAGACTCAACACTGCCCATAGACTACCACTGCTCATAGACTCCACACTGCCCATAGACTACCACTGCTCATAGACTCAACACTGCCCATAGACTCAACACTGCCCATAGACTCAACACTGTCCATAGACTCAACACTGCCCATAGACTCAACACTGCTCATAGACTCAACACTGCCCATAGACTCAACACTGCCCATAGACTCAACACTGCCCATAGACTCAACACTGCCCATAGACTCAACACTGCACCATAGACTCAACCCTACCCCATAGACTCAACACTGCCCATAGACTCAACACTACCCCATAGACTCAACACTGCCCATAGACTCAACACTACCCCATAGACTCAACACTGCCCATAGACTCAACACTGCCCATAGACTCAACACTGCCCATAGACCCAACACTGCCCATAGACTCAACACTGCCCATAGACTCAAGACTGCCCATAGACTCAACACTGTTCATAGACTCAACACTGCCCATAGACTCAACACTGCCCATAGACTCAACACTGCCCATAGACTCAACA